AAAAGTATACTACTACAAATATGGTCTTGAAAAATCCTGAAAAAATCTTCATATCCTGAAATCAATAATCGCCCTTTTTACATCAGCATAAAAATATTTGACGAAAAAAATATGTTCTCTTTTTTTTTTAGATGGAACATGCTTAGCGGTGGGATGTCTTGATAGAGTGATTTACATATTACGGTTGGAAAATAGAGGAAAGAAATGTGAAACTATCGGCAAATGCAAAGGACATGCAAGCGCTATCAGTGGTATTGACTGGTCAGTGGATAAACCATTTGGAAATTATATCTTACAGAGCAGTGGTATTGACTATGAACATGCCTATTGTGAGTAAACTTCAACCTTTAACCTACTGTGAGGGAACCCCAGCCTTTAACCTTTAATCTAATGTAAGGTAACCTCCAGCCTTTAACCTTAACATCCTCTGAGAAGACCTCAACTTTTAACCTTCAACATACTGTAAGGAAACCTCAGCCTTTAACCTTTATTCTACTGTAAGGTAACCTCCAGCCTTTAACCTTAACATTCCCTGAGAAGACCTCAACTTTTAACCTTTAACATATTGTAAGGTAACCTCAGCCTTTAACCTTTAGCCCACTGTTAGGTAACCTCAACCTTTAACCTTTAGCCCACTGTTAGGTAACCTCAACCTTTAACCTTTATTCTACTGTAAGGTAACCTCCAGGCTTTAACCTTAACATCCTCTGAGAAGACCTCAACTTTTAACCTTCAACATACTGTAAGGAAACCTCAGCCTTTAACCTTTAGCCCACTGTTAGGTAACCTCAACCTTTAACCTTTATTATACTGTAAGGTAACCTCCAGCCTTTAACCTTAACATTCTTTGAGAAGACCTCAACCTTTAACTTTCAACATACTGTAAGAGAACCCCCCAACCTTTAACCTTTAACCTGCTGTAAAGTAAACCCAACCTTTGACCTACAGTAATTTTTGTTTTGTAAAATTTTTGTTTTATAGTAATCTTTATATTAACTTGAAAAATATTTTTTTTAACACAAACTGTTTTGAAAACGCCACACAGTACGCCGATCGTAACCTTGTTTTATATTTTTAGGGGATGGTGGTAGCTGTGAAAAGATTGAGAATCCTTCTGAAGTACGGAACGTCGAGTGGGTCTCGCATAATTGCCGAGTCGGTTATCCCGTTATAGGTATGTTTTTTGTTTTTTTTACATTAGACGTCGATATTCAGTGTCTCTTCTAAGATTTAAAAAATGAGTGAGGGATTTGTTTCAAAAGTGAGGAGGGGATTTCTTTTCTCATTTGGAATGCACCATTTTTTAAATCATGACTGAGGGTGAGATCCCTGAATACAAAAATGTACATACATGTCACATGACACACCACACCGTGGTTACAAATTTCGTACCACAGAGATAATTTTGTCTCAGTATTAATACATAGATTAAAAAATTTCTGAAAAATGGGGAGTTTAAGTTTTATATCATGATATACATACTATCTGTATTAAATCTGTATTAACAATGTTAGCTTCTATTAAAATGGTACAATGTAACAGAAGATGTAGCTTCTATTAGAGCATCTACACATATAAAAAAAATGATTATTTTGTTGGTTCTCAATTGTTTAAAAAGAATGAGTGCGACTTCTGCCAAGAATACAGGTTCTAATACAGATTCCACTTGTGCATAAATGCACAAATATTGTTTACCAAAATCAATGGGTTTTCAAAGCTGACCACAAATGAATTTTTGGTAACTTTACGCATACTAATTAGGTTATTTGCATAATGATAGTTTCTTGGTGTATGGTGTGAGAGTTACAATTATAGTATTCTGTTACATGCTGTTGCCAAATTTATTTTTTGTAATGTTACGCATACTAATAAGGTGATTTGCATAATGGTTGTTTCTAGGTGTATGGGGTGAGAGTTATAATTATAGTATTCTGATACATGCTGTTGCCAAATGTATTTTTTGTAACTTTATGCATACTAATAAGGTGATTTACATAATGGTTGTTTCTACGTGTATGGTTCTAAATATATGCCACTGACAAATGTATTTTTTATAAATTTATGCATACTAATAAGGCAATTTACATAATGGTTGTTTCTATGTGTATGGTTCTAATGGCAGTCAGATATATGTCACTGAAAAATGTATTTTTGAAACTTTATGCATACTAATAAGGTGATTTGCATAATGGTTGTTTCTAGGTGTATGGGGTGAGAGTTATAATTACAGTATTCTGATACATGATGTTGCCAAATGTATTTTTTGTAACTTTATGCATATTAATAAGGTGATTTACATAATGGTTGTTTCTATGTGTATGGTTCTAATGGCAGTCGGATATATGCCACTGAAAAATGTATTTTTGTAACTTTACGCATACTAATAAGGTGATTTACATAATGGTTGTTTCTAGGTGTATGGGGTGAGAGTTCAAATGGTAATCAAATACATGCTCTTGATAGGTCTTACAACCATAAACTGCTTGCCACTGTCAATGACAATAAAGAAATTATGTTGTATAACTACCCATGTTGCAGTCCTGTGGTAAGTATCAATTTTCATTTTCTATCAACATATAAGTGCCCCGTAATCTGAATAATACCAATAAAAAAGCAACAAAAAAAATAGTCAAATTTTTTGAGTAAAAACTGAAAAAATTGACTGAAAATTTTTCTGTTGGCTCCAAAATTAGGGTTCATTTTTAGAAATATTGAAGAATTTAAGAAAAAAAGTACTGACAAATGTGGGTGAGAAAATCTGTTGGTGAAAAGGTTGAAAGTGATATTCTCCCAATAGCATGTTTTTAAAATGACGTCTCTGAATGTTACTTTGCATAATAAATGATTCATGACGACGTTCGATTTAGTCGAACAAATGAGTCAAGAAAAACCAAAATAGCGAAAGATTCATAACTGCGCCAAAATCTTTTATTCAGACAGTATTATAAAACGCGCGTAAACTAATCAACAAAAGTCATAGCAAATTACGGTAACACAGTCGGACTTGAAAATGTCTTCAGCGTCTTCAGTTCTATTTTTAGTACGATCTCGTAATCGCTATTCTCGTAATATCTAAAATCAACTGAGGGAATTGTTTCATCTATATATTCTCTGAAACACAATGTGTGAGGGCGTACTTCATCAACATCATATTTGAGGCTGGTTTTGTTTACTGACAAGAGCCCTCAACCTGTGAATCTTGGAAATTTTACAATTCTTAATTTAGTAGTTTTTATGAGCCCCCCCCCCCCCTCCATTGTGTTTTGTTTTATTAAAATTTTGAGTCAGACAACATGTGTAATTCTAGTGAGAACTGTTTATTCTGTGAAAAAGTTCCCAAATATTTCCAAGGCCGGTCCATAAATGACCTATTTTAGAGTCCAAATGCAAACGAAATGGACACGCCCTTATTAGCTCTTATCAGTCTACACTAAAGCAGAGGTGTGAATGGCTATATACTGTAAGGTCAGGTACGATTTCGAAAAACTTAAAAATAGTCGCATTTTATAACGTTTTTTTTAAAACTTCGCTCTTAGAAATGCCCTGATTCTTGTAAAACTTGTAAGAAAAATTTTCAAAATTGACTGAGAAAAGAAATCCAAACATTCAACACAGTGAATATACACCAGCTGTCTCATATTAGAACCATCAAAAAAATAAATAAATAATCAACATTTTATTGTAATATTACCATCTATGCAATGTACCTATTCTACGTTTGTCTCAACTGAATTTTCTGTTTTTACTTTTCTATTATCATGATTTTATTCTTTATTGTAATTTTATCTATATCTCAACAGACATTCGATAACAATAAATTTATTATTATAAAGTTATTATTATTACATTAAAAAAAATGACAGGGAATCAAGTATCAAGGTGACCTTCAGATGGGATTTAGATAAAAATAAAATTGTGTATAGGATCTTTATTTTTTCTTGTATCCACAAAAGGCGAAATTTGTTATTTGAGGCATGTTTAATTGTCTGCGTGTTTTTGATATCTAGATTGGCGCATTACTATTGTCTATGGATCGGTGCAATGGTGTCACACCGTGTGTATTTCTGTAACCAATACGATCATTTTATTACGCAGCTGGTGCTGGAAAGCTTAATACCTTACTTTACAAAATTCAACATGTTTGAATTTTCTCTTTAATATACTACTAAACTACGCCGAGAACATTGAATGTGTTCACTGTACTGCCCTCAAGCACAGACACCACAGTCGTTGTCATGGGTGACCAGGATCGTGCGTGACTTCATATGCTAGTATTGTTTGCTTGTTTACACTTAATTTACTAGTAAACTCTTGCCCCTTCAACTGGGATGATAACAGTCATGATAACCATCGTCTAACTTTAGAAATATGTACATTGCCTTGCACCCCCCCTCCTCCCTGCTGAAATACAGAATTAGTTTTAATATAACCAGACAGACACGTATACTGTAAAATGACTAATTTTCACTGGGTTTAAATTTCACTGATTTACCATTTCAGGCATATTAAGTAGGTTTTAAATTCACGGTTTTATCATTTAGATAATGTGTTCTATGCTAAATTTTACATATTCACTGGGTTTTAATTTAGTGCATTTTCCAGTCAGCAAAATACTGTAAAACACATCTTTTTAGCTAGCATGTCATTTCACCTAATTTAGCTAACCTGTAATTTCACTAATTTAGAAAAATTATATTCCTGCAATGAGATTGTTAGCATTTTAGCTAAATTAAGATTTTGTTAATTTCATGTATTGAGTCAAATTCGCTAAAATTGCATATAGCTATTTTACTGTGTTTTACAGAAAGCAAAATTAAAATAAAATGAATAATAAACACATTATCTAAATGATAAAACTGTGAATTTAAAACACAATAAATATGCCTGGAATGGTAAATCAGTGAAATTTAAACCCAGCGAAAATTAGTAATTTTATAGTAGCTTTAAGCCAGCATAAAATAGCTAAATGTTTGGGCGATATGGTCGTCACCTGCACACGTGCGGGAATCGAGTCCCAAGCGACGATAACAACACACGCTAAAAATGCAAAGGCTCATGGGTAAACACTTGTTATAAACAATGACACGCTATGGACATTTGACACATGCACAGGTGACAACTCCCTCGCTTTAAATATTGTGGCATTCTAAGTGTTAACTTTTCTGTAAACCTTCTGACGTTAATAATTTTTCCGATTTGATAATCAATCACTGACATAAATAGAAAATTGTCTTAAAGATCACGGTGAAATGTACGCTCACTACTTGAGAATTTTTGCATGAATTTTTTATTGGATTTACACAATATATAAACGTCTTAAAGCGGTTTTCAGTAATAGCTTGTCAGTGACAGAATATAGTACTAAATTTTGCTTGACAAAACAAAATAAAATGATTTATCAATTTCGGCAAATGTGGATTTCTTTTCTCTGAGGTTCACTAATGCGGATCGATCGATAATATATATCTGTCAGTTCTGCTCAGCCGATAAGCGTTGACACCGACTTCGAACCTCCGACTCGAACCTCAGGCTCACCTATATCGTCAACTGTTGTCACCTTGCACCGAATAAGCACACCGAATTGTTTCCATATTTTTGACGAAAAACAACTTCTACAATACCTGCTACCAACAGTAATTAATTACTATTTTGATCCAAAATTAACGAAGAAATTTTTAAAAATATGTACAACAAATGTTGTTAGTAAAAATGCTGGCAATTACCGGTAGTGATTAGCATAGTCTATCGTTAATTAAGAATTTCTTAATATTTTAGCTTGAATAGAATACAATACAATCGAACAGATTAATTTTTTGATAATCTGTCGCTTCCTTATTTGGCATATCTGCAAACACAAATAGAAATGTGCTGTTTAATCATATGAACTACCTCCCCCTAAACTAATTGTAAAAAAAAATTAGTTACCGACATAAGTAACATTAATAATTTTTAAGTTTTTTTGTTTATGAGTGATTGCCCATCGTCGTCTGTGTCAATGTTTTCCTTTTTTACTTCTTCTTGAAAACTACAAGTCTGGGTGCTTGAATGTACCTCGGGTAGACCTTTCTTAGATTTGTTCATTTCATGATTGTATCTTCAATTCTCTAATTTTAGTGAATATTTTTGTCATTTTTGGTAAAAAGTGATATTTTCGACTTCTTGTTAAAAAACGCAAGTCCAATTGCTTTGATATTGCATATATAGATACTACATGTGGACCTCTCTCAGATTTGTTCATTTTGTAATTATATCTTTAATTCTCTAATTTTGGTGAATATTTTTGATGAAAAGTGATATTTTTCAATTCTTGTTGAAAACAGCAAGTCATGTTTCTTTGATACAATACATATTTTTCATTTTCTAATGATATCTTCAGTTCTTTAATTGAAATGTGCATTGCTAATGCAACTATGGATTCATTTTGCGAGATTAATATTTTCTTAATCACTGTTTCATTATTTTGGTAGATGTGTGTATGTTGGATTGAAAAAAAACACAGTGATTTGAAAAGAAAAAAAAAATATTGAAAAAAATGATATAAAAATAATGATTTTAAAATATGGTGTTTAAAACAATAGTTATTGAACAAGTAATTGTCAATCAAACATAAGCAGAACTACCTAATGATTTAAGGGATGACTCATTTGAAATCTGGGGGGGAGCTCAAGAAAATTGATCAATTTTATATCTTTTTCTAAACTACAATAGCAAGGATTTTTTCCCCCAATAGGATTTTTTTTTTTTTTTTAACTACTTTTTTGAGAGAGTTTTTGTTTTCTCACTATTGCGCCTGTGTAATTTTTTTTTCTTGATTTCACCCCGCATTATTATTTTTTTTTTTTCAAAAACCCTCCAGCTCCCCCCACCCAACAGATTTTAAATGACTCACCCCTAATGCAGTGGTTGTTGTACTGAACTGAACAATATGTAAATCTCAAGTTGAAATCTGGCGCTGATTGACCCCCCCCCCTCCTCCTCCCCCAAATAAATTACATGCAGTTACATTTATTTGTTGAGAACACGCCACCTGACACAAAAATATTTTTAACATAATTATCATTGAATGTCTGCTATTATCGATCAGAGACAATAATAAAATCTAAATATTTGTTTAATTTTTTGGGGGGTTTACTATACAAGCTATCAGGTATTTGAATTGAAGTAATCTACGTGTTGGCTCGCTGCCAATTAAGTTACCGATATACCGGCTGATACGACAACATCACCAATTTTGGTAATGGTTTTGTGTTGTACTTTGTACTTGAGTCGACCTGATACTGGATTTATGTAGGTTAGAGTTCAACTACTGACTCTGAGCTTTATCGGGTACGAATTCTATCCAGCTCTGTCACGTAGTCCCAAAAACATACAATCAACATCATACAAGGATATCCAAACCATAGTCATTCATGTTGGCACAAATAACATTTCAGATGGGTGCTCAGTTCAGACATGTGCAGATGAGTTTGTAACTCTAATTGATAATACCAAACACAAATATCCAACAGCGAAAATCTGTGTCTCCTCCATCCTACATCGAAGGGA